GGGACCACAGGCGCCTGCCACAACGCCCGGCTATTTTTTGGTTGCAGCCGTCATTGTTGTCTGGCGGGTCTGGGCTGGGGATTCGAACCCGCCACCTTAGGTGTATGTGGCTGGCGCCTTAGCCGGTTGAGCTATAGGCGCCGAGCCAAAACAGAATACTTCTAACATGGATTAGAGTGGGTAGGCAGAATGATAAATGTTCCTTTTTCACATTTGATTCCTGCTTTTAGCTGACTCATAGCCAAAGCTAAAAAGTTTACAATTACATGTAATACAGCTGGGATGTCTTAGTCAAGCTGTTTCAAAACATCAGTAGCATGTTAAAAGGAAGAAAAATATTCAATTTCTGTGTTTCTAGATGAACTCATTATTTCCATGGTTACCTTTTATATGATGTATGGGAAATTTTTGTTTCCTAGATATAAAACTAAGGTTGATAAACTACCTGAAGACAGCAAGTAATATAATCTAGTAAAAGAAGCATTTGACGCTTAGCTCTATTATTATCTAACAGAGTCAGTGGAAATTCAGACTTTTCCGAGCTTATACCCCATATGTGCATGTACACATTTATGTGGGAGGAGGTAGAGAAGAGGGGATAGAAAAGAATACAGGGGAAAAAATAATCTGGACAAAGGTCAAGGTAATTCACCCTAGTACTACAGATATAAAAATCCATGAACTACATTGTTCAGCCTTTAAATTAATTTGCTAATGATTTTTCTTCATTCCTTCATTTTAAGGTAAAAAGATACAGGGCTAAGATCTTGTGAAACATAAATATAATTTTTTCTTTGACTGAAGAGTCAATTCTGATTTTTGGGTGTGTAAGTTCTATAGTTAACTCTTAGTTTTGAATAGCCTGGAAAAAATCAGCTTATTTTCCTTTATTAATCAAGAAAAGTCTTTTCAATAACTTCTTTCTGTTCAACCTTAGTTACTTGAGGAATCTATTTTTTTTTTTTTTTGAGACAGAGTCTCACTCTGTTGCCTCAGTCTAGAGTGCCATGACATCATAGCTCACAGCAACCTCAAACTCCTGGGCTTAAGCCATACTCCTGCCTCCTCCTCCTGAGTAGCTCTGACTACATGCACCTGCCATGATGTCTAACTAATTTTTATTTATTTTTTATTTTTTATTTTTTTTGAGACAGAGCCTTAAGCTGACCCCCTGGGTAGAGTGCCATGGCAT